TCATTGTTTGGGATGAATGCACGATGGCACATAAAAAATCGCTGGAGGGTTTCGATCGATCATTGCGGGATTTGCGTGGAGCAGTCCAACCATTTGGGAATGCATTAATATTGCTCGCAGGGGATTTCAGGCAAAGGTTGCCTGTGATTTCGACACCAGCTGACGAGATAAATGCTTGCCTGAAATATTCTATATTGTGGCAAAATGTACGTATATTACAGTTGAAGACAAATATGCGTGTCCAGTTACACAACGATGACTCAGCCGACGTATTCTCACGACATCTACTGGACATTGGGAACGGAAAGCTGCCAGTCAATGAGACGTCGAGAAAAAAGTATTGCCCGAGAATTTCTGTAATTTAGTTACATCGAAGGAAGGACTTATCCAAAAAGTGTTCACCGATATCCGAATAAATTATAGGAATCACGATTGGCTCAGTGGACGAGCGATTCTCGCTGCCAAGAACAAAGATGTCTACCAGCTCAATCATGTAATCCAATCCAGCATAGAAACTGACGAAATTAGATATCAGTCGATAGATACCGTTGTGGAGGCAGAGGAAGCAGTTAATTACCCTACGGAATTTCTAAACTCACTTGATCTGCCTGGAATGCCACCACACATATTGAAATTAAAAATAGGTGTGCCGATTATCATGCTCAGCCGAAACTCTGCAACGGTACGCGACTCGCAGTCAAGAAATTGAAGAACAACGTAGTAGAAGCAACGATTATAACTGGTCCTTTCAAAGGTGAAGATGTCCTTATTCCTAGGATTTTCAAGAGATTGCAGTTTCCCATTCGTTTGGCGTTCGCAATGACCATTAATAAAGCTCAAGGCCAATCTCTGGAGTTATGTGGTCTAGATTTGGATGCAGATTGTTTTTCACACAGACAATTATATGTTGCGTGTTCCCGTATCGGAAAACCGAAAAATTGGAAGTCTTTATATTTACGCGGAGACTGGAGAAACGAAGAATATTGTATACCAACAAGTATTACAGAATTAAATGAATTTAAAAATTATTCTTTTTGTTTGACTTATTTCTTATGCGTGCCACTACAATATGCCACAGAGAAACGTGGCAGGGTACAGCTAGTTAATCTATACTATTATATAAAGAGGAAAGGTGAGTTTGTTTGTTTGTTTGTATGAATTGAATAGGCTCCGAAAGTACTTGGCAGATTTGAAAAATTCTTTCACTGTTGGAAAGCTACATCATTCCTGAGTGACATAGGCTATATTTCATTTAAAAAAAAAATAGGCATCCTTACTAAAATTACGATAACGTAATCCAAGGTGTTAAAAAAATATCAAAAAACTACCTAGCATCTACCGCCCTCTACAGGCAGCCAAAGCATTTCCTGTCAAACATTCAAAACATATTGAAATAAGGAATTGGAGATAAAAATTTAATTTTTTTGTTCAGGTTCAGTAAGAAACGAAGTCATGCCACCCAAGAAGTCGAGTTTGGGTCGTCGTAATCGTAATACAGAAGCAAAAAGACGTAAGATTACGAATATAACTGACGAAGAACGGGCCTCCATCCGAGAGACTGAGCGGCTGAGAGAAATGCAGATGGACAAGGAAGAATCAGCAGAAAGACGAGCAGATAGGCTTGAGAGAAAACGATTAAGAGTTAGACAGTCGCGTTCTGCAGCAATCGATTTGATTCACTCTCAAAATAATGAACGCGACAGGGCAAGGGTAGCTGAAGCGCGTTTACAGCTTGCAGAAGATCAGATATAATCCAACTATTGATTACAGCTCGAATCGAATGTCGTTATTGGCCGGATGCATCAGGTCTGCATATACTGTCAGGCCTCTTAGATTGAATCAGACGAAACTTCGGTCCGAGGAATATATCCATTTGCGGGATGCTGTGATAATGCTGCAACTCTTTTGAAGGATGGCAAAACTGCTCATTCTACTTTTAATCTTCCACTATCCGTCAATCTTGAACAACAATCTACATGTTCAATACGCAAAAATGGACCTATGGTAAATTACTACAAGAGGCATCATTGATTATGTGGGACGAACGCACGATGAGCCATAGAGCACATATAGAGGCCGTGAACAGAACTTACAGGATCTAAGGAACTCCTCTGCAGTCATGGGCGGGATTACTTTTGTATTTGCTGGAGATTTTCGACAGACTCTCCCCGTTATTAACAGAGGCACGCGAGCAGATATCATCAAGGCATGCTTAAATCGTCTCCCATATGGACTACGATTGAAACGTTAAAATTAAGGACAATATGAGAGCTCATCTTCATGGAATCACTGATAGCGATTTCCCACAGCAACTGCTAAAACTTGGGGAAGGAATTTTTCCAACTCGAAATTTAAGCGGTCATTGTGACATTCTTCTGGATGAGTCTCTACGCCAAATACTCCATAATTTGGAAAATTTAATAGATTCTGTATACCCTGATATCGAGAATTTGCACGAAAGAGACTTCCATTGGCTGTGTTCTCGGGCTATAGTATCACCTAAGAATGATACTGTCAATGAAATAAATAATCTGATTGTTCAAAAAGTCCCCGGCCAAACAAAAACATACAAATCGATCGACACTGTAACGAATATTGAAGATGCAGTCCATTATCCACAGGAATTTTTAAATTCGTTGAACCCTTCTGGACTGCCACCCCATGAATTGACGTTAAAAATCGGAATCCCAATCATGCTTTAAGAAATTTAAACCCTCCGAGCATGTGTAATGGGACGAGGCTGCTTATTAAGGAGTTAAAGGACAATTTAATAGTAGCAAATATTATCACTGGCCCAGCAAGTGGTCAACTAGCTCATATACCGAGGATACCGATGATCCCAACTGATCTGCCAATCCCATTTAAACGGCTTCAATTTCCGGTAAAAACATCTTTCGCATAACAATTAACAAGTCCAAGGCCAAACCTTCGAATTAGTAGGGATCGATCTGCGAAATAAATGTTTTACTCATGGTCAACTGTATGTTGGTCTATCGCGAGTCGGAGCCCCTGAAAATCAATTTATTTTGCTGCCACAAAATAAAAAAAATCAAATATTGTTTACAGAGAAGCACTTACTAAATAAATGTATTTTCTTTTAGGTTATGACCTCAATAATTGAAAAAATAAATAAATAAAAAAAGGATGAATATGTGTCATATTATTATTATTATTATGAATGTGTTAAAATTGACAAATCTAAATGTAATGTTTAATGCCCGTGCGAAGCCGGGACGGGCCGCTAGTACAATATAAATTTTATGTCCTTATGTATTATGCATTTCATTCACCTGTACATATACATTTTCCCATTTTTGCCTATAACTGTAGGAGAGTTATTTGATATAGTCGACCAATTCACACAATTACAAACGAAATTTTAAAATAATATAAAAGCGATATACATATATTAAATTTGATGATAATCTGTTTAAAACTGAAAAACCCATTATTTTTAATTGCATTAATTTCTCGATCATATCTATGGCAGCAATATGATATTGCAGTCTGATTTTAAAAAATTGTAGAATAATATAAAATGAGTATATCTCAAATTTGAACTAAATATGTTGAAAACGGAAAAAGTTATAATTTTATTTTAACATGTTTTCTATGGCAGCAATATGATATTTTGCGAGGTAACTCTGACGAGCTTTTTTTTGTTCATAATTTTGTTTTTACAATGACAAATTGGTCCATTTTTTCCCAAAAAGTTTTGTTTTTCACTTCAGTCTTCAAAAATATTAAAAATTTTATATACAAAAAACTCCACAGCGTTACCTGTGGTATTCTATTATCTAACGAATGAATTCGGATTATCTCAATTCAATTCAATTATTGCAATTCAACTTTTTTAAAAACCCAGTAAGGTTCGACATTCACTTCGCCTCATAGTAACGGCAAAATCACGTACAACAAGAAAGGAAGCTAACTTCAGTACGCCTGAGTTTATATACCATTGCAGATAGAACTTCGGTTACTAGGAATCAATACAATATAAATTATATAATATATGAATATATTATATATATATGAATTAAAAAACAACGAAGTAATGCCTGTTTTCATTTCATTCACCTGTCCGTTTCTACGCAAACTAGTCCTCAGTTTTGAAGCTATCTGAATGAAACCTTGTAGTTAGTCTTCCATATACTCTCACTCGTACATATGTCGGAACGGGCCAGATCGGACGACTATATCATATAGCTTCCATAGAAATGATGGGATAATTAAAAAAAAAAAAAATTATACCATTTTCAGTTTTCAACAGAATTTCATCAAATTTGAGATATTGCCCTTTTATTATATTCTACAATTTTGTGTAAAATTTTATAAAAATCGGACTACTATATCATATAGCTCCCATAGGAACGATCGAGAAATTAATACAATTAAATTTATAACTTTTTCAGTTTTCAACTGATTTCATCAAATTTGAGGTATAGCCATTTTATATTACTCTTAAACTTTGGGTCAAATTTCATGAAAATTAGACAAGTATCATACAGGATGTAAAACTGCAAATATAATAGGTATAGGTGAATGAAATGAAAGCAGGTATTACTTCATTGTTTTTATCACAAATATATATAATTTATATTGTATGGATTCCTAGTAAAAGAAGTTCTATCTGCAAGGGTATACAAACTTCGGCGTGCCGAAGCTTCCTTTCTTGTTTTGTTTACTTTTTATACGCATGTGTATATTTTTGCAACGTGTATACTTTTCTATGTAAAATCATTTTAGTTGCTTATTTTTATAATTGTTGTGTATATGTCTGTGCTGTGTATATTGTATTTCACATATGTTATGCGCATGTCCAATATAATACATTAAAACAGTATTTAAGTATTTAATAAATAAAGTCGAGTTTTTGTATGATGCTTAAAAAATTTTTTTTAAAATGAAAAATATTTTTACTGTTCGGATATTTCTTTGTGTTTGTAAGTATTTTAAAATGAACACTTCATCATATATACTTTCTTTGTATTCAGTGCTTTTGGGAACACGGTGTCACAAATTTAGCTCAGAAAATGACAGCCTCTGAAACACATATAAGGGATGAATATTTTGTAAAAATGAGTAGGAGTTTGGACAGAGGTCCATATTTTGATACTTCTGCAACAAAAAATGTTACATCATTAGTTGGAAAAACAGGACATCTTAATTGCCGCATTAAAAATCTTGGAAATAAAACGGTATGTACAACCAAAACTTTGAATTCTATTCCTTGCTTTTCCTGCTCTTATGATCTAAATATGTAACCATCAATCATAACATTTACAACTAAAAAAATAAATCAGTATAAACTTCCTAATTTAATCAAAAATAGGATAGAAGTCTTCTTCCAATCTTGAAATTCTTCATTTCATTTCGGGTTATCATAAAATTTGTAGTGCTTGCTTGGCAAAAGATACTTTTGTTAGCGTAATCTGTTGGTCAGTCGAAGGTCGAGAGGCCGCGTGGTCAATATAGCAAGATAAATATGGCTGTAAGTCAGGCCGCCGTTAACTCACGGAGGCGGCCGGCGAAGCTAGGCGCAGGGAAGAGGAAATGCGCAAAACCATACAGCAGTTGGCCACTCAAGTTGGAGCGGTGCAAATCGCACCCGCACAGGCGGCAGCTCTTGTAATCAAAGTATACAAACCCATTGATATCGTAGGCGATGTTCAATGTAAAGAGCCTCTAGATGCCGTGAAATGCCTGGCCGAATTTACGGGGGCACAGGAGGCGTACGTCTCTTGGCGGCAAGCGGCAGTAGCCGCATATTATATATTTAAAAAACACGTAAATAGCTCACGGCACTACCAAGCGGTTATAAAAATTAGGAGTAAAATAAGAGGCCCTGCCGATACAACTGCCAACTGCCTTGGCATTGGCTCAAGAGGTGGAATCAAACCACAAATGATACACGTTCGCAGCATCGTTTGCAAAGAGTCTGGAAGATAGGGATAGCAAGCAAATTCCAAAGGCGCAAGAACGCCAACAAACTTCCTATCAAGCACACTCTCAAGTTAGTGCGGGCTAAAACCCACACTTCACTAAACAACATAATGCTCAGGTGCACTCCGCTCCACATAACGACAGGCGTCGTGAAAACACGCCAGAGCGTCTTCTTCAATGTCTAGGATACTAAAACCATCACAGGCGCCGGCATACCAAAATAGGAAGCCTGCTGCGTCCGACAATCGGGCCCACACAAAAGCAAAGGGTCAACCATATTGCACAGAGCACCGAGAAAACTGGTGAAATATACACCACAGCAGCTTCCAGCACGGCTCAAGAAATTGAGGATGACGCCATCTGTGAGTACGACTCCGATGCCATTAATTTTTTAGGGGAAAATCCTTGCTACCCATCATCAGACGAAGAGTAGCGGGGATAAATATGAAACTTCTTATTGACACGGGTACCGCAAAAGATTTCATTCGTCCACATAAAGGATTGAAAAGCGTCCCGGTCGAATCCCCCTTTAAAATTCATTCCATTCACGACGTCACCACAATCACGAGCAAATGTTTCGTGCCACTTTTCGATTTGAAGGCCAAGTTCCTTATCTTAACCGACTTGTCTTCCATTGATGCGATCATCGTCCTCGACCTACTTAGACAGGCAGGGGCATCGCTTTAATTTCCACTCGTGCCCCAATGTCAATTTAACTGAAGTGGACTGCTCAGATGCGCCACCTTCAGTCAGAAATGTCACGGACCACAACACCTTTACAACACGTCGGTGGTAGCCACCATCAGAACGGTTGATGAGGAGCCCATTTATGCCCATACCCAATGGGGGCGGCCGACTTCGTCAATGTCGAAATTCTAGAGCTGCTAAAAAATGGCATAACCCAAAAGTCTAAATCCCCCTTCAATAACCCAATATGGGTAGTAGACAATAGGGCACCGACAAAACGGGCAACCATAAAATGCGACTCGTATTGGGCTTTCGCAAATTGAACGAGAGGAATACCTGATCGCTACCCCATGCCAAACATCTCTATGATACTAGGGCATTTAGGCAAAGCCAAATACTTCACAACACTCGATTTGAAGTCTGGATGCCACCAAATCACACTGGCAGAACGCGACCTTTTCTTCCTTTTCCGTTAACGGAGGAAAGTACGAGTTTCGCAGAATGCCATTTGGACTTAAAAATGCCGCCAGCATTTTCCAAAGAACTATAGACGACACACTGCGAGAGCAGATTGGCAAAATCTGCTAAGTTTATGTTGATGATGTAATCGTCTTCTCAGTGGATGAAAATTCCAACATCCAGCACGTAGATTGGGTTCTCAAGAGTCTTTACGATGCTAATATCAACGCAGAAATCTACACAGAAAAAATTCTGGTGGGTTGAATTACAGCAAAGCTGCAGTCAATGTATTTTGTTGTTGGATTGATGACTGCATGAAACTGTCGTTACAGTCAAATACAGTCACCCTTACGTATCATTACGTATCAGATTATGCGTGTGTTTTTTGTTGTTGGCTTTGCGAACTGCAAATGACTGTTAACTGGAGTCGAGTTAGTGTAGGTTTTACGTACAAAATGAAGAGTATTTTTTTTTGTTCTTGTTTGGTCTAGGGTATATATTTTTGTACTCCCTAGGTGACCATCAATAAATTACTTGCCAGAGCCATAAATTTAAATAATTTATTAATTTTTAATTAAAATCCAAAACTTTTTCTGCCTACTAAAATAAATTCTAGTATATTAATGGCAAATGATTGGTACGGTCAGTCTTAGCTCTATAGGATTTATTTCGGAAAGTTTACTTGTGGAAATATGAATAAAAGTCAAATATAATGAAGTGAAAAAAATTTAACTCAGTGAATGCAACGGGCAGGAAGCGGATTGCTATGATGTATTTGAGAAGTGGATATATTTCCACTTACAGCTATTTTTCTTGGTAAGCACCATTTTATGCAACTTTCTGCGAGCACGATGCGCCATACATACATATGTGCATAACAAACATACATATGCATGTGCACACATATTTACATTATATATATATATATATATATATATATTTATAGTGAAGTGTTTCTGTTTTGTGAGTCGAACTAATGTCCCGTCAGTTGACTAAGGACAACGCTAAGTTGAATTAATAAAACGAATATTCCGCTTCACGTCTTTATTCAAATGATCACAGCTTAAGACTAAATTATTGTGACAAAAATCTTACTTCTACTGCCCTTTGTTTACAAAAGTTGGGGAGCGAGATCGCCCGCTTGGGATATTGATTGAAGAATTATTTATGTTATTGAGAAGCAGCATTGCCTGCTCCGGATGTGGATTGTTTACATTGGTTCAGCGTGGGATCGTCTACGCTGCAGATTCATATTTCTTGGAACATAAAGGAATTTGTGAATATGTCACTTCCCTCCCCTGAAAAGGGTTTCCTATGTTTGGGCTGGCATTTCAGGGTACAATGCAGGCAACTGGTTTTGTGCCGGTTCTATTTCTTGTTGTGGTTCTTGATTATTTTTTGCTTGTTTTCTAAATTTTGTATATAAAAAGGTAAGTGGATTTTGTGTATACAGTTTTGATAGGACAACAAAAATAATAAGAACGATAACTACTAATATTATAATTACGTTATTGGTATTATTTTAATTGTGTTAATGGTTTTGTGGTTAATAGTGATATGTGAAATAAGTAACATCACCGTACAGAAGGTTCCTGTGGAAGTTTAACGGCATTAGTTTTCTTTTGTTTCTTAAATGGTGTTTTGTAGTATTAGGTTTCCCTTTTCGATTGGTAATTTTGTAATGGTCATCGTCTATTTTTTCTACATTTTCATTTGCTTTAAATGGATTTTCTAATTTTCCCTTTTGAAGTGGACCTTTTCTGTATCTAGTGTCAATGTTAAATTCCTGTCGATCTTCATTTATTTTATCTATTTTCCTTTGGCTTGAATGTCCAGCGTATAAGAATATTTGAGCAGGTGTTTGTCCAGTGTTGTCATGTTTTATTTTATGATTGTATGTGTAAAGAATTGTCTCTATGTTGCTTAATTTTACTTCTTCATCATCGGATGAGTTGATTATTCGGATTTTTTCATTTATTGTCTTATGTAGTCTTTCGACGTCTGCTACACCGGTTTTTGCCGTTTTAAGTTGTTATTCAATTCCTTCTGCTTCAAGCCATCGCTTTAGAGTAAAGCTGGTGAAAGCTCCGTCTCTGTCTGCATTTAGAAATTTGGGTTTACCTAACTGATTAAAAATGCGCATTAGTGCGTTCCTGCATTCTATCCAATCCTTTGATTTAATATGTTCAAGTGTAGCGAATTTTGAATAAATGTCAATACAACTGATGTAATGTTTTCCCTCAGATGAATAAATATCTACCACAAATTTGTCTCGACAATGTTCAGGTTGGGTGTGATTTTAAGAGGCATTTTGGTATTTCTGTGTTCCGTTAGCCAAATTGCATATGTTGCATTCATTTATTATATTCTGAATTAATAGTTGGCTATTTGGAAAAAAGTGATTTTCTTTGAATAATTTAGTCATTTTCTGTGCACCTGGATGTAAAAGTTTTTCATGTGATTGAAGTATAATTTCTTTGAATTCGGCGTATGAACAAACATTCGTTAATAAGTGAAGGCTGCGAATTACTTTAGTGTAAGTGGTATTAATAATTTCTCTGTGTGCTCTTTGAATGATTTCAAAATCTACATCGCTTTCAATATGAATGGTAATGTTTTTATGAATAAAATGATCAAGTAAAATTTGTTTGGCCTTGTCGAGTGTCATTACATTATATTGGATTGTTGTAATGGAGTTACCGAATATTGTTGAATGCTCTACTTTATTGTTATCGGATTTAATGAAAATTATTTGTTTTTTGAAATAGTTTATTGGTTTTTCTGTTAAATGAATTAGGTTACTATTATCTTCTTCTGCACTATGTTGAGTAACTTCATTATGGTTATTTTCTTCAATTTTAATTCTTGATAAGGCATCGGCAACTGAATTTTCTTTCCCTTTAATATAGTCGATTTTAAATTGGTATTCGTTTAACTTGGCTTTCCATCTTTCTAACTTGGCATTTGGTTCTTTTAAAGTATGCAGCCATCTAAGAGGTTGATGGTTACTAGCAATCAGAAAATGTCGTCCTAGTAAATAATGTCGAAAAGTTTTAGTGGCCCAAACAATGGCAAGTAATTCCTTTTCGATAGCCCTGCAATTTAATTC